TGTGTTCATATATATATATATATATATATTAAAGAAAAGGCCAATGTTATTATAAGGATATCCAAAAAGCATGAGAAAATAATTTATTTAACACTATCTTTGGTTGCAATAAAAGAAATAAATGAGAAATAAAATAATAAAAAATAGAAAAGAGAAAAATAGATGAATAAAAATGTAGTAAAATTTAGAATATTTAGTTTAAGATAAGTAAAAAAATATGAAGAATAAATAATATTTTAAAATTACATGATTTAAATAAAAAATAAAAAATAAATCATAATAAAAGTTGAATTACTATTATACTCCCGCTTATTTTTAAAAGTATACAATCGATTACATAATGTGTTGATGCCTTGTTTGTCTATGTGGATGAAGTTTAATCAATTACAACTTAATGTTAATCGAGTAAAGTTGGACATCAACATGTAAAAGTCATGAACATGACCCACACATTTTGAGAGACAAGTGTCTTGCCTATTTTTACTCAATGTAGTGAAGAAATAAGAATTAGTGAGCCTCGCCGCTTTATTATTTTCTCTCTTTTCATTTTATACATATCAAACAATTCATTTTGCTTCTTCTATACCTACTCTCTTCCACTTGGTTCTTGTAACATCCAAAAACACACTAAAATGAAAGAAATTTAGATGTTTATACAAATATGAAATTATAATAATTTAAATAAATTAATTTATATTATCCATATTAATAAGATGTATATATTTTTTTGATAATTCATCACAAAAGAATTCCACAGTTAAGTGTATTCGACTTATATTAATTTATGAATGAATGACCTTTTTAAGAAGTTTTTCAAAAAATGTGTGAGTGAAGATAAAACACGCTAAAAAGTAAAAAGTAGATGGACTTCTTAGTAATGACTACCTATGGAGGATTTTAATCGATGAAAAATTTTGACCAACGAAAAATTGTGTATAGTATTATCGTATGAAGTGTTTAAGTGTCGTGTAGTAAAATCGTTCATACCTCACATATAAGGGTGTTATATTTTTAATTTATTTCCACTCTTTTAAATAGAATGTAAAAGGGTGAATTACAATATAAAAAAAATATCTATATTTTGTTGTTAAGATTTTATCATATGAATTGTGAGGTTAAAAATATTTGGATTCTATCTATTATTTTTACCTTTTATCCACTATTCAACGATGTTAATTAAAGATAAATATGTATATAAATTATATTGTATTATATTATTTTTATTTATTATTTTTTTCACCATCAAAATGAAGAAAATGAAATTAAAAAAAAACCATTTATATATTTTTTCATTCATAGCAATCATAATAATAATTACAAAATTCAAACTTAAGATCCTACTTAGTTCATCACCACTAGGTTAATTTAAGTGGTTCATTTCTATCTATCTAAATATCATACCTAAACCCTAAAATTTTAGTCGTTCAAATTTTAATTGAGTAAATTTTAGTTCTTCAAGTATTGTGATTGTGCAATTTTAGTTTCTTAATTTTTAATTAAACAATTTTAGTCCTATCGCAATTATTTGATTTTAGTCTCTCAAACATTGTAATTATACAAATTTTTATCTATTTAAGCTATACATATTAGCAATTTTAGTAATAATATATATATATATATAATTTAATACACAAATAAAGATTATAATATATGTAACTTAAATAGGTAAAAAAAATTATATAATTGTTGTAACGTAGTAGGTTAGGTGATTCAGTAATCCAGAACGGGCTGTTCCCAAACTGGAATGGGTCGTTCCAAATTACTGAATTGACCTATAAAATGTAGTTGAGAACGGGCCGTTCTAGAAGGAGAACGGGCCGTTCCAGACCCCAAAATGGGCTGTTCTGGAGGGAGTACGGGCCGTTCTGGATGAATCCCAGAACGGACCGTTCTGGTTTCAGAATGAGCCGTTCTGCATGTGATTTTTGTACGTGATGAGGGGGTGCAGAATGGGTCGTTCCGGATTCAGAACAGACCGTTCTGGCCACTCCTGAACTTCTAGAAATAGGGGTTGGGTGGTTGAGGAGAAGATGAGGTTTTTAGAGAGAAGTTTTAGAGAGAAGGACTCTGGGTCTGTGAGCTTCTTTCTCTCCCAAATTTTTCTGTATGATTCCTTTTCTCCTCTAGATCACTAATGCCTTCTGTCTTTTCTTGAAATTCAGATTAGGAAGCTTGTTTTGGAAGGATTGAAGTTCCGGGTTGAGCTTCGGAAGAGAATTCTTCTTCTTCTCAGTTATTGACTATTTTGAGCCAATCTTCAGGTGGGGGAAGCTAGAATGTAGGTTGTTTAATTTCAGGAGAGTTAGGGAAGCTTTATGCATGGTGTTCTTTTGTTGAAATAGTTGAGTTGTTGGGTGCTTAAGTTGGTTTATGATGTTTATGTGAAAGTTGACATGATAGATGAATTTTAAATATGTTGTATATTGCTGAAGTTGTTTATAAAGTTGTTAAGTTGCATTAAGTTGATATTGTAATGACTATAGTTGTATAATTAAGTTGTTTGCATGTTGTTAAAATTATTAAAGTTGCATAGTTGTATGATTGAATAAGAAGTTGTCAAGCTGGTATATAATGCCTATTGTTGTATTGTTGTTAAGATGTCTATTGCTGTAAAGTTGTTAAGATGTCTATTGCTGAAAAATTGTATGTTGTTTAAGTTGTTAAGCTGATTTAGCTGTGATGATGAGTTGTTGATCACTAGGACTAGGGGAGATGTTTTCGAAGTTGCTCATCCCATTGTGTGGATTGAGATAGTTGTGGTGCTCTGAGAGCCCAATTTGTTGAAAAACTCTCCTTGGGAAGTTGTCCCTTGGAGTGGACCTTGTGTTGTTCTCCTCTAGGACTTAGTTGATCCCGTGTGTGGGTAAGGTCGAGGCACACGTGTACAAAGCGACCACGGTATAGGGGTCAGGCCGAGCTATACCGATTACAAGCGGCCAGATGTTTATTGTTGTAAAGTTGAAAAGTTGGGGACATATGGTGAAGATATATGTCCTATGTTGAGATACATAGTACTAAGGTGATAAGTTAAAAGTTGTTTTAAAGTTGCATCCCTTAGTACTAAGTGGGCGACATTGAAATAGTCGATCCATGTCATGGTTGAATGACCAATTTGAGTAAGGTATCTAGTTAGAGATGTAGTCTTTGACTAGGTACTAGAGGGTGCGTGCTACTTGGAAGACAGTGGGTGGGCTAACTGTGACACCCTCTACCCCAACATACATATACAGTAATTAAAAAAAATAAAATTTTTCATCAATAAAAATTAAATTTCCAATCACGTAAGGGTAAAAAGTTCACATTCATAAACTTAATTCAAATAACATGCCAGTAAAATTACAAAGAAATAAAACTGAATTTTCCAAAATAATTTAATAAGAACATCTTAAACTAATCCTATCTATGTCCCGATGTCACATGTCCTATCAGAGCAAAACCTAACATAGAAGCCTAAGCTTCATCACCAACATCCTCAGCCTCACGCTGATGATCACCTGTATAATAGTCAAAGCAAAACAACACGAGAAAAGGGAGTGAGAAACATCTCACTCTAGCTCACAGTATAGAAATGTATGTCGAATAGCCAAACACAAACAAAACAAGTATAACATAGATAAGTTAATAACATCACACTCATCCAAGACATAAACCATCACTTTATCATATAACATTAAAAATGCATAAGTATCGACACGGACTACATATTATCATGCATGTGGCGCCAGTAAAACATCACATGGCATATTGTCGCTAGCAATACACGAAAGGTAGTCTAGGAGTACATGCCGGGTCACACCCTCTGCGCACTCTCACTAGAAGGATATACTACCAGAGTCTCATCGGGATAGCTAAGCCGCACAAGATACATCCCATGCACACAATGGGCGAGACTGGGACTTCCAAACCGAGCTATCCCCAAGGACTAATCCCCAAAGCTTTTACACTAGGGGGCCTTCTCTGGCGATGTATTCCATATCGTACCCTTAAAACACTTATGCAAATGATGCATGTCAATCAAGACTCTATGCATTCTCATATCACATTATCATTTCCCATGGTCATATCACATCATCACATTTCGTCATCATATTTCATTATCACATTTCATATCCCATGTCTCAATCACATTTCACTTTACATCATCATATTCACAAAGCCTCCACAGAGCACTTTAATTTATATCAAAACTCGTTTATTTATAAAATTAAATACATATTTTTACATCTCATCAAACAAGGAATATAACAGAACAATCAGAAATCAAAACAGAAAATATTCATATTTTGCCTATTTTTCATAAGGTTTCCCGCAGGAACCCATAGAGCACTCTAAATCATATCAAAACATATTTATTCTCAAAATTAATCACATACTTACACATTACATTCAACAAGGAATACAATAGAGCAATCAGATAACAAAACAGA